GATTGGAACACTCCGAGTTTTCGCGGAGTTTTTTTCCTTTTCTGCCGACTCCCTGAATAACCCCATAATTGAATACAGGCAATGAGTCATATCCGCGCCATTTTTGTTTTCCGAGAGGAGTACACAGAAAATCAATAGAGCGCAGCTACGCAGTATGTTTCTAGGCCACGACCGCGATGTTTTTTTTCAAATTTAAAAAGAATTTAAATTAAATATTAAAAATAAACAAGTTTACTCATGAAACTGTGATACTGAGCATCTAAATGGACGAAAAAGATGATTTTGATGTATTCATCGAAACGGCAGAAAATGTCGTTCGCCTGATAGAATCTGGCCAAGATGTAAGTCGATTTTTTAAAGAATGGATAATATTGTCGGATTAAAAAAAGTGACACCTGAAAATCTCGGAGACGACGCTCGTGTCGATTTACGAGGGGCGGAGCGAAAACGGATACTGTAGATAATAAATTTATTTATGTGAATTTAGTGGGATTTTCTGAACAAAATTTTGATTTCTTGGTATAAAAATGGTTGCTAGCATCTCTAGAATCTATTTTTCAGCAAAAAAACTAAATTTAAACGCGAAAGTAGCTCGACCGAGCCAAAAATCTGAAATATTACGTTTTTGCCGCGCTTTTTCGTAGATCAAAAAAAGCAAAAGTTTTCAAATTTTCAGGTCCCAGTTTTTTTAATTTGACAATATCCAGTTTCATATAACTTAACTATACTAATTTTTAGGCTGAATATGAGAAATATCAATTAGCAAAACAAGCTGATCTAGTGAGTTCCTCCAACATTCCACTTGCTGATGATGTACCAGCCATTGTATGCAAAATTCTAGCTGTAAGTTGCAATATCCTCATTCTTCAGAGAATTACTTTTTTCAGAATCATAAGCGCTCTGTTAAAACAGAAAATATCCAAGATGTTAGAAAGCGCCGAAAAAGTGAAACTTCTAATTCCGATATTAACGTAGGTGCACAGAATCTTTTCTCCCCAGAATCTGTAAATTCCAGACAATAACAATCTCACAACTCGAATACAGGTCTCCATGCAACCCTTTCATTTTTATCCTTTTTTGTTTCCTCTTAGTAATTATAATGTATTATCTTTTGTCACCAACTCCATGTCCTCGACCAATCTGGTAAAAATTTGTATATTTCATGTATATCTTTGAACTATTTGTTTCTTTCATGAAAATTCAGAGAACAGATGTATCAGACAAATTAAAAGAGAAGTATTACTTTTAGAATGAAAGCCTAAACAATGAAATTTGGGAACAAATAAAATCAGAAAAAAGCTGGTAACGAAATTGAGTTGAAGATGATTGTTAGTTCATCTCACATTCCAAGATGCTCAAAATGCAGGCATTGATAATTTGAGTACCGTTATCTTTGTTATCATTAGCCAACAATTTCCTGCAAAAAAGGTTTTGAAGAGTCGAGTCATTATCAGAAGCTTACAGCAAAATCAAATCGTCGATTGGCTCAAAAAAAATATCGTTCGTCCGGATTTTATTCGGAGTTTCTTTTTCCAAATGTAGTTTTCGCAGATTCTCTTCCTCCAATGCCTGCAAAACAAACAAAATTGAAAAAAAACTTTAATTTTTATACTAACCTTAGTTTCAATTTCCGTGGATGTAGGTTGTGGAATAACAGCAAACATTTCTAATTCTTCTGCAGGATCGTTTCCATTCCGAGCACCTTCCCTGTGGCGCTCGACGCTTTTTATAGATTTTTGGCATCTATGAAGGTGTGAAGCCATCCTATTTCCATTCCACGAACTAAATCCACATTCACATTTTAAGAGTGTATTTCCATTTGATGTCGAATCATAACCCGCCCGTTCTTTGTTTCCGTCGCACGATATCTCATCAGTTACACGACGACCTTCAGTGGTTTTCAGAAACTTTTTTTCGATTCCATTTACTTTTGGACGTCTTATAATACGTTCCCTGCGCCCTTTGCAGATATCTGGTCGTTCGGTGACTGCCCACAGATTGTTCAGGCGAGTGTGATCATTGATACGATGTGCATCGAGTTCTTTACGTTCACTGAAAGAAAGAGCACACATGCGACACCGGAATGATGTGTTTGCTGCATGTTTTCGCATGTGATCCACAAAAGATGGGACAAAAATATGCTTGCTGTGCCGAACGGTAGTCTTGAGATCTTCTTGGTACAGGCAGAGAGGACATATAAGAGCACTGAAATGGTGAAGTTGAATAGAAAAATGAATAGTTCCAACTCACTCATTGATGTGTTTCTCGATGAAGTGATCATACAGGTAAAGACGAACTGAAGTGCGATACTTGCATTTTTTGCAGTGATATGGACTTTCTCCTGCAGGGTGCAGATTTAAGTGTGCTTCCAATTTCTTTGGAGTCTCGTACTGTAACGAAACATTTGATTAAAGTTAAAAAGACATACAAAACTAACATCCAGCTCGCATATATTGCAAACAGTATTAGATTCTCCTTGGTTCAAGTGGCATTTTACGACATGTTGTTGTTTGAAATACCTCGAACTGAAACCTACGTTACAGTATTCGCAAGTTCTCATCTTCATCAACGCCATTGTACTATTCGTTGAAAGCGCAGCAAAGTCAGTGGAATGCATGTATAAACCATTTTCTCTGAAAGAAAATATAAGTTGATTTAAAAGTAGATTATTAGAAACTCACTGTGCTTCTTTTCGCTTCATTGATTCTAAAGGATCATGAATAACATGAGACCATGTATGATTGATAAATCCTACAGCTCCGTCACAAAGATCATGACAACTCGTATTGTTGTAAGAACACTGAAAAATAACTTCAAAGTGTTGGAGAAAGAAAACATATCGATAAGCTCACCACAAATTTTCCTTCGATTTTTTTTGAATTCAGTCGAGACGAGCGCCTCGATGGCTCAAATTTTTCAGTTGCTTCAAACATGAAATGTCCTCGATATACAGAATGTCCATTGTTCAAAGCGTTGCGTGTGCGAGATGATGAAGGTTGGGTTGGCTTCGGCAATGCAGCAGCAGGAGAGCATCTAAAATCGAGCCTAATGAGAAAAAACTCTAATTTTCAATGTTGACAAGCAAGAAAAAAAATACCAACCTTGCTCCGGATCTTATAGCAGATCCAACTGGAATAGATCTAACTGGTCTCTGTAGAGCAGACGGATCACGACTCGTGGGTGCCACAGTAGTCTGAGTAGGTTGCGCCCGGGACGACGAAGCTCCTCCAATGAAACTTCTAGTATTCCTCGGCACCAGCATCGACGTATTCCTGACCACTGATGTTTGTGGTTGATTTCCAATATATGACACTGTGGGCTGTTTAAAACCGAGTTGCTCAATGTCCAATTGCTTGACTTTGGAGATATTTACAGTTGCTCCTTGTCCATTGTCCACGGAACGTGGATTGCTAATGCTGTAAATGATTTCCGGTCTGGTGAAATACTAAAATATGTTCAAGCTTACATTTTTTCCTCTATGACCATGAGATCATCGTCCGAGTCCGACAAGGTGATTACTTCTGAAGGGTCGCCCATTTCGAGTCTGCCAGTTACCTGTTGAAAAAATTGAATTAGGAAGGAATAACATGGATTGAAAAAGAAGACGGACGGGATGTTGAGGTAAAGACAGAAAGGCTCAGAATAATCGATCTGCAGAATGATGGAGGTTAGCACGGTGACAGCAAGACAACGTTGAACGCTCTTGCAATGAAGAGACTCAGAGCGGTCAGAGATGGGGAGAGATGGTGAGTGTGGGAAGTATGGTTGCATGAGAGCATGCTTTTCCGGTATTTCTCTCGATGGGAAGCCCCACAAATTCCGAGGAAAATAATTTTCGGAGAAAAAAATTCGGGGAAAAGTGGGCGGAGTCGGGACGGAAACTAAATTGAAAATTTGGCACGGTTTTGCAGCACAGTATTTTTAACACATTTGAATACGGTCATGAGAAAACCGTGCGGCAAAACCGTGTCAGGCTTGAAATTTAGGCTCCGCCCACCTTAAACAGGAATTTATTTTCCCGGAAAAATATTCTTTCGCGGGGTCTCCTCGATAGAATCTGTGAAGCCTCCACGGTAGGATATGGGAATCATTGGATTGAGAATAAGAAGTATAATATAGTAAAATTAGTTTGACAGTGTACAAGAAACAACTAAGACAGGCATGTCCTGTACAGGAGACAATTACTGGCCAGCTGTATAAATAGAAAGAATTGCGTAGATGATGGACAAAACTTTCCTCATGGGAATATGTCGAATCGATCCAAAACAGCACATGCCGGTCAATAGATCGATCCGATCGGAAAACGAAAAGCAGATGTAAATATTAAGAAGGCACAGTTAAAATATATCACTCATAGAGTCAGCTAATAAGTAGTCAGCGTGCTCCATAATTGCGGAAGTTTCGAAGGGAAAGGCAACTGGAAGCCTGTTCGTTAGCCGATCTTGTATGAGGCTTGACCAAAACAATTTTCTTAGCGGAAAAATTCCAGGAAAAGGGACCAAAAATTTAGAGAATAATTGGAAAACAAAATATTTTCAGTTACGGTAGTTTTCGTCCGAAGACATGACCATTTTCGGAATCAAATTCCGAAAAACACATTCTGGCATACTTGTAACGGGCCGGGCTTTTTACCGAATTTCGGAGGCCCGGCCCGACGGACCTGTCATTCCACAAGTTTTGAAAAATTCAAAAACACATGAGGGGGACCCTTATGTGATTTTTTTCGAGCAAAAATTTTTTTTCGAGTTTTTTCGATATTTTTTGATCAAACAGACAAACAATCCAAAAACACAAAAAAATGGAGAAAGTTGTGTTGAGAGCTAAAAATTTGGCTCAAAATGACAAAATTTTTGATATCGGGCCTTCCGGGCTTTGGCGGGCCGGCCCGGAATTTTACAAGTATGATTTCAGGGATGAAATGAACTACGGTATGTCAAAGGCGCACGCGGAAAGTTTTCTTGGGGGTCTCGATCGGAATTAAGTACTGTAACTCGAGAAATTTGTTTGTCGAGTTTTTTTGTGGTAAGAAAATGGGATTTATAATCGAAAATTGTTGAAAGTTGGAACATTCCGAAATTCTGATGTTTTGAAAAACGGAATTTTCGAAATTGCGGAAAGGCCATTCTCACGTTCGCGAGCCCGATAATTAACAATGCAAATTATCGACAGAAAAAAACCGCGTTTCGTGAATTGCACTTTGTCTGTCATCCGAGAAAAAAAGGAAATTATATTTGAATTGCGTAATAATTGTAACGATAGAAAAATAACAGTTTAACTCGATTAAATTAAAGGTTTTTGTAGACAGGATGAAGCAAATTTGAATAATCCAAGTTATCTTTGTTGACCAGATATTCGTAGACAAAGTCGATGACGTATAGAGGTATTTTATCTTGCTTTAACATAGCGGCACTCTGGAAAGCTGTCGTTTTTGATAGTCACTTGGAACGGAGTTAACCTGAACGTTCCATTTAAAATCTTTGACTGCGAAAACTCTATTCGGTTCAAGATCAGTGATCTCTATATAATCGGTGATCGAATGAACAACAGCTCCACCAGCTTCTAAGATACTCGCTATTAGCTGGGCCGTTCTGTCGTCTTGATGAATCACACATCGCCATCCGGTGAAAGCTCCATTGGTTCGATTCTCCTATGAGTTACAAGAATTGTTTCGACTCTCTAGAATTATGAATATTTGACCTACCATTCTAACTGAAGAGGTGATCGGCATTTCATCAATTCTAATGCGCCACGGCTTACACACAGCAACCAATTTCTCGAAATGTATCCTGTTTTCACGTTCTTTAGGACTCTCTCGAGCCGGAACGGTTTTAGGAAGTTTATCAGGAGTCCATTCAAATTTCTTTTCATCTATCCATCGACCTGATGCAGTACTTTTAGTCACATACTCCGGTGTTAGGCACCATTTCCCAGCCGCAATAGAGCAAAGTACTTTTGGTGTTCTCTGCATCTTGCTGGTGATAAGGTGGGTGACATCTCTGTTGTAATCTTTCTCAATTCGACCACCCAGTTGCTTGATTGCTTCTAGAAGGTCTGCTGACTCCTTAAAGTGTATTATTCGGAAAGAAAACTTTGAAAATGTATACTTGTGGGCTCATATTGGATATACTCAACAAAAATCGTGGATGCATGGCGTACATACGATTTAACTCTTCGTGTTCTTGATTTTGGTCAGCAAATGATTCGTCCATTGGCTCATAGTGTCTCATAGAACGATCTAAGTCTCTCACTAACACCGGAGTCTAAAAGTTGGAAATTAATCTCTGTCATGATATCATCCCCATACGCTGGAAACAGTTCTTCGATTCTCGACAACTCTCGATTTTATAACTTCACAAGTCATTGGTTCATCCTCGTTCTCTTTTCCTATAGTGCGACCAGTGTTAACAACAGCTCTACGAAGGATACTTCCGATTCGCGAGTTGGTCATGGTTGATTCTGGGGTTTCTCTGGGCGGTGATTCCATATCATCAATGTATCTATTGGCACTTTCCAGATTCAGACTGTAAATTTACTATTGCGAGAAACCCATTTTTTTTGACTGACTCCATTTTATATGGCTTTCTGAGATCCGGAAAATATGGATTTCTATAAGGGGCCGTTATATTTGCAATACCATCACTGCTCCGAGTTTCGTAAGGGCGCTCTTCCACTTTATATCTGTCTTCCAATTCTCGTTCGATCACTTCGGTTGATTCATTCCTATCTAACACACACTTGGCCCAAACGTCATCGTCCCGCTCAAATTCTAATAAAGGCTCTGTTTTTTCCTTATAGATATGATCTTTAAACGGTTGAAGCTGACAACGACACACACTAGAAATAATCCATGATAGGTCAGCAGTCCGAGAACGATGTTCTTGTCTGACTTGTCCAGCGCCAACCATAATTTGAAACGAATTGGAATCCATTTCGTTGATGACAATCCCACCATTCTCTTCAATAATGCTCTTGATGAAACCACGAACATGAGGAAAATTTTCCCGTAGAACGAATCGTTGATTTCGGAAAAGCAGTAGAGGAGGCTTTGGGAGAGGAACCAAAAGTGCGTGGGCACCAAGGCGAATACAGTGTCCTATATTGATACATTGATCCTGAAAAAATCATATCGAGATAGTGAGAGCTAGCGAGGTTCACTCACGACATAGAGAGTTGTGATGACTTTATCGTATGTAAGCAATGTATGCATCGGTGCAGAAGGACCGAAAATAACGAAATCTGCTTTCTCCGGGTCAGGTTCTATCTGTCCTCCTAGTTTCTCAATCTGATCACTGAGCGTGGCAACGATTGGTTGTCCATGAAGAGATGAATGAAAACTGTATGTTCGACTTCTGAATATTTGTTTCTTGTTTTAGAAAATTACAGAAAATCTTACGAAAATACACCAGTGGTATCATTGGGTCCAAAAGTTCTGTCAGATAACTGAGAAGATTCGTAGCTGAGGGTTTGTGATTGGCTATCATCCATCATATTTTCTGTCCAATGAAAATCTTCAGAATTCACCAATTTCCTTTTCTTCACGCATTCTATAACCCATTGAACGGTCACTATATTGATGTCTTCTTGTTGAACTATCTTTCTTAAAGATGCACGATCTTGTTGGCTGGGATTGATAACAACGACATGGGTTGCAGATTCGAACTTTGCGACCCGAGTAGCTCCGGTATCGTTGAATAGTCGCACCAAACTTTCTTTCGTTGCTTGGTCCTTTCCAATTATGTAGAAAATGCAGTTCTGGAAATATTAACAATTTTCGTTGAGTAATTTGATTTGAGCTTACTTCAAAAAGTTCTCTGAGTCCATCGTCTATCAGTTTCCGAGCGTTGGCGATGAGATCCAGTTCGTTTCCGGCTGAATTTTGAACCGGCTCGATGTTTTGCGATGTGGGAATTCGAACCATTGGAACATAGCTTTTTCGAAGAGGAAGGGTTGAGCTGAAACATCAAAATCAATAGGTAATTTTAACCGAAGAATCGAAGATTTTGTATTGAATAAAATGACATACAATTGGTCACTATTCCGCGATACTCCAATCTTTCCAACAGTTTTGTCATTATTAATGGTACTTGAGGTAACATTTGAGGTTGATGAAATTGACACAAATGAAGAGCATGATTGACGGAACGATTGTTCTGTCGGAGTCATCGATGAGGACATACTGAATGATGAATTTATCAGGCGACCTCCGTTGCCAACAATTGAAGAAATATCAGGAGCACTTTCAATAACACTTGTGTCTTTCTTCGGAGTAGATGATCGGAAATGTTCGGCGGACAAGTATTTTGGATGATATTTGCTGAAGAAAACTGGAATTAGCCATTATTGAATTTCTCAAAAAATCGTACGCTTCTGAAATGAGAGAACCAGCATCGATACACTTTCTGATCCATCTTGTTTGAACAATCCTAACGGTTTTCCACTCGGATGCTTTCAGATATTTTTGCCCACTCGTTTTATCAGTAATCAGATGACTGCATCTATTTTTCGACATATTTCCAGAAACTCTGCCGCCATGCTCTTCTACCAACTGAATCAAATTAGTACGATCAACTCCGTCGATTGAAGAAATAGATATTTCCTGAACATAATCGAATCAGTCATAAAACACAGTAGTAAAAACTTACAAGCCCTTCAAAAACTCTCAACTTGTAAGATTCGACTGCATCTCTCCCTATAGCGCTAAACTTCCCCATTGTCGTTTGAGATGTCTGCCATAAGTGCTCAACCCATTCTTTTCGCATCAACTTAATAGAATTTTTCACAGCACTCTGAAAAAAGAGCATATTATTCTCAATGTGACTTTTATGAGAACCTTATATTTTTCTGTATGCTCTGCTTTTCCAGAAATTAGATGGGTTGTCTCATGATACAGAGTCTTATTAAAAACACCATTCATCCAAGCGATTTTTTCGCCGAGATCTTTCTGGAAAAAGAATACATAGAATCAATATTCTGAAAATTGTTATACCTTTTCTTCTGGGTCCAACGATGTGAACGAAATTCTAGCGCCATCGAACACACTGGAGAAAACTGGATGAGTGCATTGTGGAAGTGATTTCATCTCTTCCAGGCATTCACGAATGATTGGTGGACCATAGAGTCTATAATTAAATGTATTTTATGTGATACGATCTGAAAACGAGCGAACACCAACTTCAGTTTGTTTTCTTGAAGTTTTTGAAACAACTTTCCGCGGAAACAAGGAAGCACGAAGAAATCGTCTGATGATTTGATGTGCTCAACAGATCCTGAGTCAATCCACTCAGGCATCACTCCGGCTTTTTTCGAAATCTAAAAAAACATTTTTGAAATTTTAAATGTGTATAAAAGCTCACTTTAAAAGTCTCTTTCAGATTTCGAATTTCTTGCTCTGTAGGTACTCCATCGGAAGTTTCAATAAAATATAAAGTGAATGGAGAATCTTCTTCATTGTCATCGCAAAGTATGGAGTCTTCATGCGCTTTGCTGGCCTGAAAATTGAAAGTTTAGATCAAAGAACTATAGTAAAATGACTTACTTCGCTTTTTCTTGCCTTTTTCGGAGCCGGTGGGGCAGACATTTGACAGTGAAGCTAAAATTTTTTGTCGGTTGAATTTGAAAATTTGAAAACGACAGTTTCGCGCGGAGAGAAATGAGAAACGAGGCATGAACAGAGAGTGTATAACTGTCTGCGCCTCTTCACACTCTCTTATGAAATAGTCACCAGCTCTTGAAAAAAGATCATACTTGCAACGGCCTGGTCTTTTTCAGAGTTTTCTCGAACCAGGTTTACAGTTATTTATTTCAGATGTGAAACATCCAGGTATGAAAAAAAACATACAACAGACAAAACTTCAGACAAGCTATCATTGCCCGAATTTTCCGTTGTCTAATACACAAAATATTTGATCGGTTAAATATTCATGACATAAACAACTGTTCAATCTGTGTTTTTAGAACAATTATTCCGTAATGTCAATCCAATCCACTGTTATTTTTATATGGAAGGATGGTAGTTCCAGAAGATACTAAAGTAAACCAGGAGAATCGAAAAAGGTTTCACAAACCTAAGTATTAATGAATCAAACCGTCAATCACTCACAATCCAAATTTAACTGGAACATTCAAGGAACGTCTTCTGGAAACGCTTCTTCACATGAATCAATGGACCAATACCAATAATCGACAGGCTTCAATGAAGTCATCGTATAGTCAAAATAGTCAAAGAGAATGTGGAGTCAAAGAGTAATTGCCGAAAAATTATCCATGCAATGTCGAGAACTGCGAAGAAATAGTGAAAATCAAAATCAAAACCTAAAACTGCACTTCTCGACATTTATCTACATTTAAAAAATAGGAAAAATGAATCGGCAGTTACAAAAATTAATGGGTCCAAACGATTTAGGGATTCAAAATTTCAGGTTCAGGATATAAAATCTTGGGTACAATAATTCTGAAGTACTCCGGTACAGAAGTCTGAAAAATCACCAGCTACAAAAGTTCGATTCGAGTGTATTTACAAAAAACTAAAATTAGGGGTTCCAATTTTTCAAGTTTGGTATAACCAGAAAGCACAAGTTTCTGGTATTACTCTTGTCCGAAATCAATGCACGTTGCGGACGAGAAAACAACGATGGGCGGAGCTTAGCTCCCACAGAGAGAACCTTACTGTATTTTTCAAATTATTGCACGCGCCTTTAATACAGTACCTCAACATTTATCGAATTTTCTCAAATTTCTCTCATTTTTTTGCTTGTTTCTGTCTAATTTTGTGTAATTCTTATAAATCTTTAATTTATTTTTCTTATAAAATAGAAAAAAACAGCCAAATAGGGCCCAAAAAAACGTCTGAGGTACGGTATTTAAAGGCGCATGCATCAATTTGTTTTTTCGCTGTGCGACCGACGATGCGATTTTGAGTAAATTTTCGGCCGCAACGTGCATTGATTTCGGACGAGAGTAATAGTGGAGATTGAAATCAAGGTTACTGTAATCCTCTAGCTACAACTTTTCCCTACAGTAATCCTTTTCATTTTCAAATATTCTCCCTACAGTAATCCATTTAATTTTTGATTATTTTTCACTATAGTAATCCTTCCCATTTTCGATTCTTCTTCTCTACAGTAATCCTTTCCATTTTTGATTATTCACTAGAGTAATGCTTTTCATTTTCGAATACTATCCCTATAGTAATCCTTTTCATTTTCCATTGTTTTTCCCTACAGTAATCCTTTTCTTTTTAGATCATTTTTTCCCTTCTTTTCTTCGGATCAGAATAATAAGAAATTAGTAAAAGAGTCCTAACATAGTTAGATATTACTCTCGTCCGAAATCATTGCACGTTGCGGCCGAAAATTTACTAAAAATCGCATCGTCGGTCGCACAGCGAAAACAAAAATTGATGCATGCGCCTTTAAATACCGTACCTCGGACGTTTTTTAAAGATTTTTAAGAATTACACAAAATTAGACAGAAACAAGCGAAAAAATGAGAGAAAATTGAGAAAATTCGATAAATGTTGAGGTACTGTATTAAAGGCGCGTGCAATAATTTTAAAAATACAGTAAGGTTCTCTCTGTGGGAGCTAAGCTCCGCCCACCGTTGTTTTCTCGGCCGAAACGTGCATTGATTTCGGACAAGAGTAATATGTCTTAACGCGCACTCCTTCGTCCCTCAATTTCTTGGCTTCTTCATTAACTTCCATGAAAGTTCACGTCCACGATTCTTCTAACAGAGCTGTTATTAGGTTGGCGGGAAAGTCTTTGTCACTCTGTTTGTTTAATCACTGTTCTCGTATATGGAGGCTGTGTATGATATCGACTCTAGTGAATAACAAGGTGATAAGAACCTTCCATATAAACAAGTCCCCATCTCCTTCCCTGCTCCTCATCTGTAATTGAAACGATATGTTTGTTCCCACTGCTATTCACATCAGACATGTTTTGATTTACCTCTTCCTATCTCACACCACGATGAAGGATTCGGAAACTTTCTTGAAGAATGTGTACAACACACATGCCCCTCACTACAATACTATTCGCAATTGGTTCCATCGTTTCGAAAAAGATGACTTCTCGCTCGATGAAAAGGATCGCTCTGGGAGACCCCGTGAGTTGGATTTGGACAAGCTGAAGCACGCATTGCAATCGGATCCATTTCAATCTAGCCGTGAACTAGCTGTCACATTCGGAGTTCACCATAGCACAGTCCTTGAAGGTTTGAAGTCTCTTGGAATGAGAAAACTTTTTGGTCGATTCATACCTCATCACCTGACTCAAGCCAACCTTGACCGCCGAGTCGACGATTCGATTACTCTTCTCACTCTCCACGCGGGCGATGATGGCTGGACCGGCTAATAACCGGAGATGAGAAGTGGGTCTTCTACGATAATCACCACAGGAAATCCCAGCGGGTTGGAGAAGGAGAGAGCCCACAGGATGTCCCCAAACCCGACCTTCATCCGAAAAAAGTTATGCTCTCTGTGTGGTGGGGAGTGGACGGCCCCATCTACTGGGAACTTCTGCCCGAGGGCAAAACAATAACTGGAGACCTCTACACTACTCAACTACGAAACCTCAAGAAAGCAGTCGACCGTTCGGCCCTGAAAGACAAGAAAGTGTACTATCAACATGATAACGCTCGCCCACATGTTTCGAAACAAGTGAAGCAGGAGCTGATGGGATATGGATGGAATGTTCTCCCTCACCCCCCCCCCCCGTATTCTCCTGATCTTGCTCCTTCCGACTATTGGTTATTTGGCGATATGACACGTGCCTTCGAAGGAAGAAGCTTCAATTCCCGTGGAGCGGTCGAAGCGGCTCTCAAACAATACTTTGCCTCACGCCCGGCTGGATTCTACCGCAATGGAATCCAAAAATTGAGGGAACGTTGGAGACATGTTGTTGATAATGATGGACAATATAATTAATTATTCGGTTATTTTTTCTTTGAGAAATAAACTATTGAAAAAGTGACAAAGACTTTCACGCCAACCTAATAGTTCCAAAAAAAGTGAGAGTCACTATTCAAAATATAAGGCCAAGGAAAATCCAGTGAGAAAAGTAAGGAAAAAGAAGAGTCGAATATTGACGATTATTACAGGAACATGGCTCCTCGCGCTAGAAATACCAGAAAAAAGCTGTCGAATTAGCTCCAACTATGAAACGGATGATGGAAGTGAAGAACTCCGAATTGGTATTTTTTCAAGTGTACTTTTCATAGTAATAGACTTATCACAGATTTTCAATAACGATGGGATTCCATATTCTAGTGACACACTCAAGATTTTCTCTGAGTTTTACGAGAAGGCTGACGAAATTGCGGACAACGTTACCGCTAAGTACAAGCCGCTGTTTGACGTCAAAGAAGTACTTCAGAAGTATCTCAATGTGAGATTTAAAACTTACAGATAACAGTTCAAAAATCGTATTTTTTCAGGATATTCCCAGAGATTTAGAACCCAATCTAGAAACCAAGTAGCGATAAAGAAAGTGACGATGGATCTTCTCGAAACTCAAGTGGAATCTCTTGAAGACATGGAAATCGCTGAAGCTTCAAACAGAACTGAAGATTTACGTGGTATCAAAAGTGAAACATTGACATCTTCTGAAGATATGGAAATGGAAGGGTCTTCTAATAAAATTGAAGATCGGCGTGGTATCAGAAGTCAAACTCTGGCGCAATCACGACGCAGTTAGAAGAAATGTCGATTGTGGAGGATTTGGAGTTGAAAATCCCACTTCTTACGAGTACTCCAATCAAGACAGAGATATCTTCAGATATTAATGATAATCAATTGACGACCGATGGAATTAAGATCGATTCGGAGCGAATTCAAGAAGTGGGAAATATTAGTTCTGTTATCGAGATTGTTGAGAAGAATGGGATTGAGGAAAGTAAGCCTGGAGCCTTCACAAGCACAGGCCAAATACACAAAGAAAGAATCACAGTTATGAAATCTTCGAAGTTGACTTCGCCAATGTCAAAGGCTTCATCTACAGTATCATCTCACCAATATTCCAACCGGGACAACTTACATACGCCAAAAACCACCAACATCCGTCTCAGAATTCCTAAGGTGGACCCAACCAAACTACACACTGCAAAGAAAGAGAATCGTGGTTCGGATAGTCAAGGTAGTAAAATGGCACATGCTAATGAACTTCGTTCGAAACTGTTGCTACTGAAAAAGGAGAAACTTCGCGAGGACAACGAAAGAAAGGCATCGGAAGTCTTGGGAGAGGAAAAAGTCGTTGGAAGAGCAGAAAATGAAGCAAAAGTCGTCTTCTCGACATGGTGCATCGTTAAAAAGAACTGAGACATTGGCTGGAGGACAAGGCCCAAACAAGAAAAATCGTGTTCATTTGTTTCCGAAAGAAGATAAAGCTTCGGTGTTTGATACCTCAGATGTCGTGGTATTGGTGAGTGAATCTTGCACCTGAGAAAAAACATTTGAACATTGTAACAAATTTCAGACACACTCTGTCAAGAAACAAAAAACTGGATTCACCACAAACTTGAACAAAATGACTTCTCATCGTGGTGTCTGCCGGGGGAATACAACATCTGACTACGGTTTAGACGACTTGAACAGCGACAATGACACGGACGATGAGAATAAACCACGAAAGGAAATTCCAATGTGGGCAGAATTCAGTTTTGTGAAGCGTAGTGTTCGTGAGCACATTGAGAATCCTCCATTCGATCTGGATGAGTTCTTTGGGAAAATCGAAAAGGTTTACAGTTGCTATGAATTTTGAAAAACAATGATTTTGTTTATTCAGCCGAACCTCCAGGAAATATTTGGCAAAAATAATCAAAGCAAAGCTCGAGGATCTTCTGCACGCTGGAATTGAGGATCTTTTAAATGAGCTCGAACATTGAATAATCTCGTTCAATAAGATAATGACTTTTAAATTTTGAATGAATTCAAAGGGGACTTTTACCGAAAATTTCAAAAGTTTATTAACTGTTAGAATTTTTCCCTTCTGAAATTCTGAGATTCTGAGATTCCAAGATTCTGAGATTCGGATATTCTGAGATTCTAAGATTCTGAGACTTCGAGATTCCTAGATTTCGAAATTTTGAAATTCAATTATCTCATCTATATGCAAGATATCAAAAATGTGTCAACTGTCAAAACACTTCTGATTTTATGATTAACAATATATCAGTTGACCACTTTCATAACTTTGATATTTAGGAACCAATAAATATTGACTGAAAATTAAATAGTTTATAGAGGGCCAGTTTCATGATTTTGTAAATATGAATTCGTTTTGTTTGAATTAAAAAAATAAATTGAATCACTGTAATAAATAGGCAATACAGGGTGATGCATAGTTACATGGACTACAGTTTGTACTAGCATAAAATTTGAGGAAAGCGATGTACATACTTTGTTCAAATTTGGACCACTCCACAATTTTCTCAACTTCACTTGTTTATGATAAGAATGCAATTAATGCAATACAAGTTTTTGGTCGGAATCCCTCCATATTATATGAATACTATTTTTGATTATTCAGCTTAATGATCTCATTATTCCATTTGAATCCAACCGGATTTCCATTGACATCCAACTGAAATCGATGATACAGTTTGTCAGTGAGCTTATCAGCCATGAGAGCATTTTCACCAATTATGCTCTTGTGATATACTCGCCCTGTTGATTCCATCAGTAATGTTGACGGCTGGAAGAAGACAAACTATCCGAAAACAAATCTAGCATAAAACCACCTGAAAAGGATATAGCAAGGTTGATTGCCCGATTCGAAGTGACGTTTGTGTTGGATCCAATTCTGTGTAAACCAGAGGAGTATCGTCACATCTCAAATAGTTTCTTTCGATACCACAGAGGCTAACCCAAGGGAATGTATCCTGAAGGAAAAACCAATTTCAATTCCTTAGAGTTAATTGAGAGGTACCTCGTATCTGTCAGTGGTATTCATTTTGATTTTAGAGTAGAAAAAGTTTAGAAAGGGTACATCTGAAAATTGATCTTCAATATCACATAATCTTCTTAAAAGAACCTTTATACGCAGCAGTGAAATTTTTCATTCGGGAATCGTCCAGAAATAGAAAACCATTGTGACTGACATAATAGAAATATTCTCTGGAATAATTCGTTTCTGAGCTTCAGCACGGTAGCTATTATGCTTGTCTGAGAAAAAAAGGTTAGAGAGTATTTTTTGCAGTCTGACGGTAGCGATATCGAAGCGAGAGCCTAAATAGCACACAAACGGTGGTGACGCAGACACATTTTCTCTGCGTCTCAACCTTTTTTTCTCAGACAAGCATAATACCGTACCTTATTTTTCCATTGTACTGACCCTGTTTATACAAAGCTTGCTGTATTGCCATATCACCTTCAATCAATTTGATACCTTTTGTATTTTTAATTCAATGGCCTCTCTGACAAATAAATGTGTCTGACAATTAAATATTTTTTCAAAGAACAAATATGTTTAAAAATCTACATTTATTCATTCTGGATCGAATAGAAGGACAACAGAAATTTTTATGAAACTTTAAGATAGCTTTAACGGTAATCGTTCTAAAACATAGTCCATCGAAAAAGTCAAAACAGCTGTTAGAAAAGACGGAAATCGGACTTCTTTCCTTGATCCTTATCGAACTCGGGATCTTGAGCAACCTGAAAATTTAAATGATGTTGAAGATCGAAATTTTGAAGAAATGCAAATACTTACATTCTTGTAATATTGCCAATCTTTAGACAGTGGTTTGTCTCCTTCAAGTGGCGATTTGGACATATAGAACTCATATGGAGGCTCATAGTTCTTCTTGTCTTGATAGAACATTCCTTTCTTCCAGAACGAGTAGTCGAACTCTCCGTTCGCGAGCTTCTCCTTATGATCAGCAAGCTTGGCGGAACGCTCTTCCATGATTTCTGGATGACGACGCTCCCAAATCATTCTATGCTTCTGCTTCATATAAGCATCACGTACATCAGCTTCTCCTCCCAACTCTCCGTACTTGATGAAGAAGTTGAGCTCGTTTTCCTCCATATCTTCGATTACCTTGGCGCATGGAGAATGGTCAGGGTTGTTGTACAACATACACCGATCTACACGCTGACGAAGAGTTTGTAGAATGAACCCGTCTACCATTTTATCGAGACGATATTGCTCGTTGGCTTCATAGAAGCACGCCTTGTCGTTGACGCCACATTCGTCTATTTCCGGAACTCGGGTGAGTTGCCGATGGTAATAAGGAAGACGGTTCTTGTTGTTCAAGGGCTCCACGACTTTCTCTGAAACAAGGATGCTGCTTAGTCTAAACATTAGGTCGTAATGAACAATAACAGCTACAATTATAACCACAATACCTCTGAACCAAGTTGCTGGAGCGTCGAAGGCCTTATGAGCATAGTATCGGAACCGTGGATAGATGGAACCACGAGAATCGACATCGCGAACTTTCCAGTAGGCATCCCATGATGCTTTGTCATCAGCTTGACGCTGTTCTACTAAGTTCTCACCCATCCTGTAAACTGATTTTGAAAATAGAAACAAATTAAAGATGATGTAGGAAAAGGCGTTACAACGCGATCAGGAAGAAAGTATTCAACTTGATTTTAAAAAATTATATTGAACAAAAAACAACAACAACAATAGAACGGCATAAACATTAATGGAAATTATGAAATGAAAATAATATAAAATAGATTCATAGTCATCCACTGACAGATCGTGTGTAGCTATGTTGTACCAAAGAAATTAATTCATCTTCGCCTGTTATGAATTCAGATTTGTTAATGACATCGTGGATCTTGATAATTTCTTCGGTTGTTGGAGCATTCACCCAAATTCTTCCGTTCATTCCGACGGTGATCTCAAATTTGAAAAATTTTCCCATTGTTTGGAGAATTTCGCAGGACGGATTGATGAGGCGTCGGCAATGATTCAGTGAAACCTGAATTTTTTTGAATTTTTAAGTATATCGAAAAATACATACTTTGAACATGTATCCTCCGTTAAGTTGTCCCATTCCTCGGGCTCTTTTCTCGTCGTCGACACATGTTAACTCCGCTTCTGTTCTAGGAGTTGTATCAAAAACCGTAGCATAAATAATGTCACCAGTCTTGAGATTCGGCCTGTTTCGTTTTGTGGCTCCTTCGAAGTTAGTGAAACTAATCATGGCGTATTCGGCAGTTCCGATATCCAAGCGAAAAAAGTCACCAGTTTTAGATGTAACAATCGCAATCACTCGATCTCCTTCTTGTGGAATATATCTGAAAACGCAATTAACTAGTTGCAGCTGTGAAAATACAAGTTTTCGATCACCTTTTGCTATGAACGCTGAGCCATATTTTTCCTTCGTCGCTTCGAAAAGCACCAGGTTGAGTGACTACTTTTTTCTCCCCACGAAGATTGATTCCATACCCGATGATTGAAGAATCGCTTGAGGACGGTTCGTTAATCACATCACCGGGAAGGTAAACTGCCATTTCTTTTTTTCTGAAACTGGGGGAGAACTTAAAAATGTGAACAGGACTGCATTTAAATTATAAAAAAGGAAATTGATAAATTGAAAATCGTTTATAACAAGCTGAAATAAGCTAAACAGCTGGAAACTACGAGTGCATAAACGAAGCGGCTATCAGTTGCCCGAAGTTTTCCGTGTGTGTGTTTGCAGACTTGATTACCGTACTTTTCTTTTAAAAGCGCAAACAGGTCTAAAGAGGACACTCGCAAGAGGAAACGTAACATATTAGATAGATTGTTTTGCAGTGTTCTCGACAAAATCAGAAATAGAAAAATATAAAAGGCAACATTTATTAAGATCTGAACATAAATTGTGGTGTTATACTTTTTTTCTGAACAAGTATATTGGAGAAGTTGGAATCAACGAAATCTTTTCTCAAAGTCAATCAAAGAGACTTTTCATGAAAATCTTTATTTACAAACTATACAGATAATTAACCTGAAAAGATAATGAATGTGAAATCGTGATTAAAACTGTGGTTTTGATCTGCATGTACCGCAATTCCTCTAATATTTAGAAGCCCACCCAAACCATCAACTTTTCGATTATCTAGATTCCTGGTAAAGATATCGAAAATTTGTCAACTAAAATATTAATTTTCATAAAATCACCAATATTTTATCAGTTGACCAATTACTGATATCTTTCACAATAATCGAGATAATTGAGCTCAAAGTTGAAATTTCGGGTAGGCTTCTATTGGGTAGGCTTCTATTCTATTCGGTATACCGTAGCGCAAATAAAATTATTATTAAAGTTCTCATATCATTTGTGAAATCATTTGAACATCAACTCGATCGACCTAGTTATCAAAAACACATCACTGTAACTGTGAGAAACGTGTATCAAACAGCTTGTACACTTCCACGTAAGAACCTAGTTGAAACCCACGTTGCTATCCAGGTCCCATGTTATCATGCGAAATCCTCTCGTTATAAATCTGTCTAATGTTTGAGATGAAGGTTCGATTGACTAATAAGTTATAGCTGTTTTCATATACTGCTTTCAGCACATCCTCATACTTACATGCATTATTCTTGCCTGTCAGGGAGCCCATGTAACAGACTTCTCTGTTCACATTAAAGGAACATTTTTGTGTAATGAGGAGCCTTTCAAAAACTGGCCATTAGAAGTTATGATTGATGGCAAGCGATGTGAGTTCATTTTGTTAATGCGTCTTCTTCTCATTCTCAGAATTTCCAGTCAAATACGAAGATGACATCGATAGATTCACTAAAGACAATGGAAATTTTAGCATTAAAGCCTGGATCAGAACTGATTCGTATATGATCACACCCTACATTGTAATTCAGCACAACTGCTGGGAGACTAAAGAAGTTCCACACCGCTGCCACCGTAAAATCATCCAGCCCGTCCAATCCCGATATGTGACAGTCGGCTCGAAAATTCCAGAGGAAAATAAGACATTCAACATCGGAACTATTGACCTTCGTTTCAAGCATCCAGCTGAACTTCCCGTTAACTGTGGAAACTAGTAGACCTTGGTTATCAGCCGATTATGAATAGAGTTTTAATAAAGACCCTATTTCTCTAATAAAACATTTTTATTTGTCGTAAATACACTTCAATGTGCCATAAAATGGATGTCAACATTTGTTCCTTTTTTTTTAGTAACCACAGTACCACCATTTCATTTTGTCCATTTGCCCAGCTTTTGAAAAAAAAAACCAAAATTCAAAGGGAACTGATAATTATATCCAGCAATGTACCACAAATAACCCAGTACAGGTTCTTTTGTGCAGTTTCTCATCATTCCCCTCTACCCTAGAGACGCAGAGAAAGGAAGTTGTGGGCGGAGCCAAGGCACACACAAAGTATAGTGGCTGGCGGAACCCGGGAAGTGTCGGCTGCTGCGCGTGGTTAGGTTCAGCGGCCGCGCTGCTTTCATTGAGACCATACTATACAGAATCATTTCTGCAGTATGTATCTCGTAATTCCCATCAAATTGGTAGAGATGCCAACTGCGATGAAAGGGAGACGAGCATGGCGCGAGCGTGAAGCAGTCCTTGAGGACTTGATGACCGCACGGAGCTGATTAATTTTGGAGCCGTAGTGCCATGCTCTTCTGAGCAGTTATATAAAAGTTTTCCAAAGCGAAAGAGAAGGTTCTGAAAAATAATACTTTACACAACAAATACCTTATTGTGATGACGACCGGCTACGGATCCTCTGTTTTTCACCACACCTTCTAACAAAAAAAAATGGAAATTCTTTTTCTTTTATTTCATCTAGTTTCTCTGCTCCTCCAAAGAAGGCGTCCTGCTCAACCCCGTTTGCGAGAGACGTTTCCTTGACAACCGAGGAAACACACTTCCGCTTCGATTTTCTCTGACACTTATTCGCAACTGGTTCTTTTGTTCCACTAATAAAATGGAAGATGGTCTAGAAGATGACCAATCAAATGGTCATCAAACAGAATCAACGAATGGGTTGGAAGTAGCCGAAGATGGACCAGGAAAAGAGTATGAAGTATATATTCGGGTGAGTGTGAAATTGTACTGAACCTTCACATTTTTTTCTCATCTGAGTACATCTTCTTACTGTTTAGTTTTGTTTTCAGAACGAGGAACTCGTCGACAAACTCAAACTTTTAAACTACGAGGACGGCTTTTTGAAACTTGGTGTTGCTTATAAACCAATTTCAAAGTAACTCTTTTCCTTTAATACATTTGTACCATTATATTTTTATAGACACTACTTTGTGAAATCAGTAAATGTGGGTGAGCAGTTCTTTTTGTTTACTTCGTTAGCTGCTTGGCTAATCAAAAAGTCGGGAGAAGAATCATATATTATGCCACAGGAAGTAAGGTTTCTCGCTTGAATACATATCATCAGTGCTATAATTTTCAGTTTGATGATCCAAACTCTACAATTGCAAACATACTAGCAGCTGCGAAAAATAAGGTACGTTCGTGATAGATTTTCTCGACATTTCTACACTTCAATACTCACATAATATCTAGTTTAAAAACATAGACTTTCTTGGAGATTCTCCGTTATGCGGAAATTCTAACCTCAAATTTCCGGGTTACCGAATGTTGAAAAAATTTTGGTATAAGAAAAAATTTATTCAAATTACAAACAATCTAATGTTAAAACTGATTTCTATTCATCTTCCCCATTGTCGTTGTCGTCGTCGTCACCGTCATCTTCATCATCATCAGCGCAAACGAATACAGAATCTCTTTTGAATCTTTCCATTTCCACCATCTTAGCACGTCCTTCCCAATGATGACGTTGATGTACAGAAGCAGCAAAAGCCAATGAGAAAGTAATAAGAAGAATCAGAAGAATTCTCATGTTTCAAACTTTGCGGGTGGTCTGTCTCATCTACTATTATCTTTCCTTTTATACGAATTTCCGTAGACTCGTAAAATCATGAGACATTAGAAAAGGACCAGAAACATTCTTCTAGTTTATTTAGCAAGCAGTAGACTATCAGATGAAAAGTCAAATGCGTAGAATTTAGGTTTAAACTGACCTCAAAATCACATGTTGGTCAAAAAATGCATAGTTTGAGATGTAAGTACATAGATCAACGACATAGATAAACAATTCGAACAACGTAGAGAAGAAGTATCTCCTTACGATCTTCGTATCGTTTAGAAACCAGATTTTTTTCATGATCCTAAACACAGAATATTCCCATTTGGTTGACTTTAGCACACAACAAAAATCCTTCAGACTGAAATATTTACTTTTTAGATTTCAAAAAAAAATTGTGAAAATACTAAAAAATTTATCAGATAAGAACCCGTAAAAGCATAAATCAATTTCTCAAGAAGACTAGAGAGTACATCCATTTTCTCCTTCCTCAAAATCAGTGGATATCAGTTGATGAATATAAATATTCTTGTAACTCTTATATGTCACGAATTCGCTTGCCACATTTGTACACCTCAATCCTGGGAAAGCTGGAATATTACAGTACTCGGGTCCTGAAATATAAAAGTTTCTATAGAAAATTTCAAAAAAGAGATATTGCACCTCTACAAGTTCCTATATCTTTCATACTGTAGAAGATGCGATTGTAGCAAACTTCAATGAGTGGGTAATAGAGGGAAACCTTTGGAAGTCGAGAGTAAATCTGAAATATTATCGCTCGGATTAGTTTAGACTATAAGCAATTTTACCGCTTTCATGTTCCCATCTGACACTCTGTTCTTGAATTTCCTTTGAATTTTTAAACCATCTGATACGTTGTATACCGTTCTTTTTGTGGCATTTAAATGATACGGATCGAAGTATGGAGGATTCGAAATTTCTTTAAAAAAAAGAGTGCTATAGAACATGAATCTATTAGTGAACTCACTCGTTCGGTTAACTGTTGGGTAGTCAGGAAACTTCCAAATTCTCAAATGATAGAATGCGTTTACATCAACTGGCATCACTTTCTGTTCGTACCCTTCTTTGATTGAATAGGACCTATGAATCCACGTACTGTCAACTCTTTCCGGTCTGACCACCAATTTTCCCCATCGTTGCTCACCCTGAATCAATTCGAAGTTTTGTATCGAAACTGAATTCTTTGTAATGTTTTACCTTGAATTTAATGGATGATAAAAGCGATATAGGGGAATATAGAGCAGGAGTAATTGCTGAAAATGTTGGTATTGAAGAGATTGTTATTATGATAACCAACTTACAAGATTCGATTGAAGTCTGTGTCATATTGTATACAATTGCTCCAGCCGTTGGAAACATATTGAACGCCTATAAAACATAGTTTCGGAGTGTATGTCTAAACTATACTTTCAATGTCTAAACTATACTTTCTGTTATACTTGTAATCCGGGCCCGTAGTTTCATTTAGAGTCAACATATTTGGACCAACTAATAGAGATAGGATAAAACTCGACGAGTACTACAAAATCATATTATTTGGAATACTGTCTCTTGTCTATAAGCAATGTTATAAGCCATGAATTAGCCGGGCCCTGCTTGTTTTTTCAGCCCATTTTGTCTTTAACTTTGTTCATAGACACTGTGAAGTTTTTTAATAATATAACTTCGTAATACTCGCCAAGTTCTATCTTATCTAATTAAGTTAGTCCAAAAAACAGGTTTTTAAAAGAAACTTTGGCAGGGCTCGCGAACGTCCGCCAGGGCTGGGTTTAAAAATTTGAGAAACTAGAAAAATCGGCCCACAGTTGAGCATTAGTCAACCCTTTTAATTCACTGATCTAACGCTATGATCTTAGATTCTTCCTGAATCTTACCGCTGTAAATTCTTCGTGATAATTCTTTCCCAAAACAGGAACAAGAATATCATCTGGATCAGGAAATATGACAAATTCTGCTGATTCTTTGTACTGTAGAAGGCAATCAGTCATAGCAGAAGCTTGATTTCTGAATTCAAGTTCTGTATTTGGATCAAACATTGGAGAAGCTGCACGCGATTCTCCAATTTTGATAGAAGGCCATGGAGAGATTCGGGTCTAGAACTTATGAAAACCTTGAAATTTTTATCAAAAAGTAACTCACATTTTTATTTTCTTTTATTAATTTGAACAGATCGGTTATCATGGATCGAACATAAAAATGTAGAAAAGCGCCGTAATGGGAATATATCTGAAATAATGATAACATTCATTTAACAAAACTGGGAATAGACATACCTCAACAGTAGCCAGAAGCAGTTGCCATCTTTCATTTAAAAATAATGGAGAGAAGCAAGCGACAACTTTTCGTGGTGTTTGAAAAGGTGTTCGAAGAGACAGCTGAAATCAAGAATTTCAAATTTGTTGAATCAAATCCTTCCACTTATAATTTCTACGAACATCGTAGTTTTATATTAACCAATTGAAAACACAAGTTGCTGAGTCTTAGTAGGCACAAAATAGTCAAAATGTGACGAAAAATAATGTCTTTGTAAATCTAGTTCTCTTGTTTATCAGTTTATGGATTTTATGGGTTTTTCAGATTTTTTGAAGTGTGTGGTGTAGAAAAATTACTAACTCTATAAAAAAAGAGTTTGTGGCATATTATCAGATTGGCAGAGCAGTTTTTTTTCAGATAGACAGAACAAAAACTATTTTTCGAATCGGTAGTCCTAACCATTTGGAGATCCAAATATTATTACCGAAAGACCTGTAATAGAAGGGCCGCACACCGTCAAGCTTGAGCTCAATTATCTCAATTCTTATACAAGGTGTCAAAAATGTGCCAATTGTCAAAACACTTTTAAAATTATGATAAGCAATTTATCCGTTGTCATCTTTTTTATGTTTTCGACAGGAACCGAAATAAACTAGCTCGACGTTAAAAGTTATGGGCCCTCCTATTACAGGTTTTACGGTATTTTATTAGTCTTTTTATTAGTATTAAAGTTTTTTCATCCCAGTTTCCTCCGACGCACATCTCAAAGTTCCAACCCTGTTTTACAAACTTTCCTAGCCAAATACCAATATGGAAAAAGGGATATTAACACTGAGCAACACAGTAAAATTTAAAAGTTCTCGAAGGCCGAATTCATTTTGAAACTATCGCCTCCATTGAAAAAAACGCACCTCCATTCCATCTTTTTTATTCGTTGACAACTTCAAAAGTACATGATCTTCAGGAACTTGTCCCACAGCAATATAGGGAACCCATTTACAGAAAAATGGTATTTTATTGATAACCGGTTGAATCTTAAATTGTACTTCAACATTCCCTTGCATTGTCTCCGTGACGACATTCAATGTAGAATATTTTAAATGGAATACTTGAACGGAATTGAATAGAATTACTGCTGTACTCGGTGGAAAACTTTTCGAATTCTCGTAATATGTCGTCGACAAAACAACAATATCATCGTTCCGAGCTACATAATCATGTAAAATATGATTGTGTTGACGATCGAATATTGTGAGACCTGATGAATTTTGATTTCTTTAGAGTGTGTGCCCTTTAAATATGTAATACCTGCTAAAATAGTAACGGCAATTAAAAATCCAAGACAAACCACTATGAATATGAACAATCTTACAAACCGTTTGCCTGGAAACGTTTGTACATATTTTTTCAACTTCCTGAAATCAGCTAACCTTTAAAAATGAGCTGGCAACTTTCCAGAAACATAGTATTCTGCCACCTGCTCGAAAGCTTTAAAAAAAGGAAGAAATAGTGCGTTGTCCAGACAAAGGCAATAGGAAAGGAGAAGAAGGAGAAGAAGGAATCTACGTATTGCAGAGTTTCCTTTGAAAAGAAGAAGAAGATCTAGATGTAATCTTTTTTTCGGAAAAGGTGTCCATTTCTTCTCAATTGTCCCCTTATTCATTTCCATTCTCTTCTCATCAGATGAGCTTTTTAATGGAATATTTTGTAGCTAAATCTTTGCTAACTTGAGTTCAGCAAATCCTTGGGAGAATTTGAAAATTTGAAAATATTTATTAAAAGTAGAATTAAGAGTGAATAGTTGGTCCACTTAAATTGGTTATGTCAAAAACAGGTTGAAAGAAAACCGAAGAATGAAGACGGATGGAAAGAAAAAATGCCCTCAATGTTCGGAAGATTTCATTCAGACAAGTTCGAAAGCGCGATTTTTTTGAACTTTTGACACCGAAATTTTGATTGGAAATTTGAGAATATTCTCCGTTTAGATCACGATTTTTGGAATCCTGAACAAAAGAAAAAACACATTAATCAATAATAACAACATTTCACAGGGTGTTCCAGTTGACTTCACAGCTGCAAAGCTAAAATCTGGAGCCGGGGAAAACGTGATTTCAATTTTAAGTACTCTTGCTGATGCGGCTCTGGTTCAAATTGGGTTCCAGTGGCAAAAGTACCCCTCTTAAACTTATAAGATTGAAAAACTGGTCTGCTTTCAGAATGATTCCTCCAAAAGAAGAAGACGAAGATACAGCGGTTGATGAGCAGGACGATGACGATGATGACGTGGCAGAAGAGCCGACAACTTTTCTTGATGATGACGATGATGATAATGTCATCGAAATTGATTTAAAGGCGCAGGGATTGGTTACAGAATCGGTAAGTATTCCAAAGTTTTCAGATCAATGACAGTGAATAACGTTGCAGAAGAATCCTCTCCAAAGTGTTCTTCAAAGCACCACAGATTCGATTTCCTGGAAACAAGAAGTGGAGAGAGTTGCTCCACAATTAAAGATTACATTGAGACAAGATGCAAAAGATTGGCGTCTTCATCTGGAACAAATGAACTCAATGCACAAAACAGTTGAACAAAAAATTGGAAATGTTGGACCCTTTTTGGATAGTGTCCGTCTCAATTATTTCTTTTAAAGTTTCAAAAAATCCTCTTAATTTTCAGATGTCAAAAGACATTGGAAAGACTTTGGAAAGAATTTCAGTTAGAGAAAAGTCTCTGAATACTCAGTTGTCTAGTATGATGAGCAAGTTCAAAAGAGCCACTGATACAAGAGCAGAATTGAGGGAAAAGTATAAGTGAGTGGAATTAATGAAGTTATTGATAAACCACAGTTCTTTGAAGAGCAGCATCGGTTGGCGTGAGTTCTCGAACTGAAACCCTTGATCGGATAAGTGATGATATTGAACAATTGAAACAGCAAATCGAGGAACAAGGAGCAAAATCCAGTGATGGAGCTCCGTTGGTGAAGATAAAGCAAGCAGTGAGCAAATTGGAAGAAGCGTTGCAGACAATGAATGTGCAGATAGGAGCATTGGAACAATCGATTCTGAATACTTATCTCAGAGATCACTTCAACTTCAGTGCAAATCTTCTGAACATTGTCTGAATTGCCTGACCCTTTGACTTCCAATCGGTTCATTAATTATGATAATGTCATCTATAAAAAGTTAAATATAACAAAATAGGTTCCCTACTCCGAAACAAATGGCGTCTCCTTCTAGTCGTTTTCATTCTAAAAACGGAAGAAGTCATGGGCTTCGATTATTCCCGTGGGTTCAATTTCTCAGCAAAAAGAAAGTTTTGCTCTTATAGTTAGAGCTCTCTCCGTTTCTCTTCCCTTCTCTCACAGACACCTACTAACCTACAAAATTTTTTTTTCTGTATGTACATATGTGCCCTTGCGAAAAAGAGAAAACTTGACTAATGAGCATTGGGCGAGCCACCACAGAAGAGACATATGGACTTGCTCCGAGAGCAGCCGTCGAGTGCGACAAAAAAGTTTTTGAAACTTTCTATCTCTTTTTCTGGGCGACACACACTGATTGGGGCCAGCTGGAGAATTGGAGAGAAGATGGAAGAGTTGCGAAATGTTCTGGGATTTTTATAGAACTTCTGTATTTTGTGACAAAAAGAATTATCAACACTTCATTTGATATTCATAGAAAGCGATTAAAAGTGGATGAAGAAAAAAAAATGAAGAATGAGAAATTTGAAAATTCAGAATATGAAAACAAAAAAAAACAGAGAAAAGATCAATTCGTGGGATGATTTGAGAATGTTTTGGTTCTGGTGCTTGGAGTTTTCTGTTCAAAAAAAGGGAAATGGGACTATCAGTTGTTTTTGTATGAGACATTTTGACACCCGTTTCAAAGCGAAATTTAAAAGGAAAACCTATAACATTATATCGTGAAAGCGACTTTTTTGGTGGGTCAAAATTTTATGTGAAAATTGCAAAAAAAGATCACAGGCAACATGCTAGAAACAAAGAGAAAGTTTAAACGAGAAAAGGCGAGAGAGTGTGTGAGACGAAGAGATTTGGAGAAAGACACGGGGGATGAAGAAGTGAGAACTATTTATGAAAAAAAAAGAAAAAAAAAAGAAGTAGTGGTTCCTAGGCGAAAGACACTTCGTAACGGCATGGGATATCAGTTAGATATAGGCGGGAATAATTTGGTCCCCATCCTTTGCCAACTGATATTACCAGATTTTGTTGAGCCAGTGCTGGGTCCTGAAAGGGTTGCAATTTAGGATGTTTTTGGGAGACAAATCCAAGTGTTCAATATAAATTCTCAAAAATTTATGGATATGAACATTTGGACAAAGAACCGCTACTTTTTTTAAAAAAATTCGTCAAAACATCAATATTATTTAACCAGAAAGCAGTAAAAAATGACGACCAGATCCCTCAGAATTTCCAATTTTCCCAGTTGAAACAAGTGCGACAGTACAACCCTAGCGCGTTCAGACCGCAACAATTTTCAAGCGGTTCTTTGAAAAAAAAACTTTTTACAAAACATTTTTTTAATCCTCTTAAAAAGATCTTAATTTTTGCAAATCTTGACGCGCTAGGGGTGTACGGTCGTTCTGGTTTTAACTGTGTTTACTAGTAATCCTGGGGGAGCTGGGCGTCACTTTGGACTTTATTTTGGGCCCAGAAATCCCAGATTTGGAAGCTTTGGACGTGACATCAAGATACTTACCTTGCTGGGCCTTCGCACTTTAGTCCGTTCACTTGCAGGTGCTGATGCAGACACTTCTCCTCGATGTACTCGTATACAGTATCCAGGTGATAACCTTCGAAGAGTATCTTTTGTTGATGATACGTTTGGAGTCATGGATAGAAATAACGGCCGAGTTCCACTATAAAATTAAATTGTTTTTAAACAAAACTATTTTATTTCAAACCTATTATATAACCAAACATCTTCTGGATTCGTCGAGCCAATCGGATCAGCTTGTCGTATTAAAGCAAATGAGACTTCATTTTTCAAGTCCCAAGGACTACATTCTAATTGAGCGTCGTGGACTGGAGTTTCAGAAATTTAGAGTTTAAATATTTAGATTTAAAAAATCACCTGATTTTGATAAGACTCCCACAGCTGCAAATGCTCCGTGCAGCCATACCGTATCCCCGATTTGTTCTTTTCGCTCGTACCTCGTCATTTTTGCCCATGCTATAATTTTAAAATTGAAAATATAGCTTTAACATAAAAAAGACTAACATCGATTAGACTCGTGATGATGATAATGTATTAAATCATCGGGATCCTGTGAACTTCTTGAAGTACACGGAGGTGAATCATCTGGAACTGGAGGTGTTGCTGTCGGTACTGATGGTGGAGGTCGATCCGGAAGTTCACCAGACAGGATTTTAGGAAGTTTTGAAAATTCTGCATCGTGTGTGTCTAAAGAAATCATTTTTTGTAGACGAAAAAAGATGAAAACTGACGATCTCGATGTCGATAGGTGATGTGTCCGTTTCCAATAAGTGATGATCTATGATTGTTTTGATGGACAGAAGAGTTCTTGTCCTCCGATCCATCATCATCACCACCGTTTGTTTCTGGACGGATCCATAGAGCATAGTGATAGGGATTACAACATGACACTGAAGTGTTTTAAATTCATTTTTTAAATCAGATGATGAATCTCTCTTGTTCCTTTTATACTAATTGAAATAAAATACTCACCAGTGGCATTATTAATAGTTACTCGTCCAAATCTACACCAAGGTAGTGCTTCTAATCGATGAAGTGCTGCATCCACTTGTAAATCTTTCCATCGCCAAAGTTTACAACATAAATACGGCATACTCATTGGACGATCAATTTGAGGTATTAGGCCTGAAAAAATGCAACCTATGGTTTTCAACTTATGAAATTAAGTTGCCCATTTATTCAATTCTTATAGAACGCCATTCCTAACTTTTAATTTTGGGCCTTTATCTCAGTTTCTGTGTAAAATATCAAAAAGTGATCAACTGATAAAAGTTTTTTATATTATGATAAACATTTTGTCAGCTGACCTCTTTTTGATATCTTCCACATGAAACGAGATATATGTGCTCAAAGTTGACCTTAGTGTTTACGGTAATACGTTGGCTTATATTCTAACAGAAGTTCCAAACGCAAGATCCGAAAAACCTACCAGAATCTTCATCCGGAGGATCCTCCTCTACCCGTTCATCCATCGGAGGACCCGGAGCACAGGCTTTTGAATCGACACCATCACTCTCCACCGCTTTTCGTATCACTTCTACATCTTCTGCATCGAAGCCTCGCATCAATCGAAGAAATCTAAAAATATATGATAATCAATGATAAAAAAAAGAAGAACGGTACCTTCTCCTCGCCCTCCGCTCATCTGAAGTGACTAGTAGACGTCGTCGCCAGAGTCTCTCGACGTGTCGCCGTCTCTCGCTGAACACGCACCACATGCCACAATCCATCGTGGTGCATGCCGTGATGTGTTCGAATACACAACACTATCAGATACGGTTCTTCTATTGATGGAATGGGCTGGGATAGTGTGTGAAAAGGAGAGAGACGAGGCGACTAGGCGACAGATGATGGTATCCAGATGACCTCTCTGAAAATATAGAGATTGCACTAGAAGAGATTCAAAGAAGAAGAGCAAGGACCAAAACGATTCAGAAATTTTATGCAAGTTTTCACTTGAAAATCCAAGAAGTCCAGATGACTCCACCCACATTTTCGTGTAAACACCATAAAATAGGAGAAGAGTGTCTGTTTGAAAGAAGTCGTAAACACTTGACTAATACCCGGAGAGAAGAAAAAAAGAAGAAGAAGAAGAAGAAAGAGCAGACGGAACAAAAAAAAGTAAATCATTTCGTTCCCGTGTTCTTTCTTTTTGTTGTAAGACCTTCTTTTCTTCTTTTTGCCTCTTGCTCTTTTTTTGATTCACATACTAAAGAAAGGGTTAAAATATTAAAAAGAAGAAAAAGAAGAAGAGCGAGGTCATGGTCATTTTTTTCGTAGCTAAACGAACGGAGCAAAAGTGCACGGAGCCAAAAGAAACAAGAGAGAAAAGAGAGTGGATGTCGGCGTCCCTCTTTTGACGTTTTGGACGGACGGACGCGGGGACGAAATTAGCTGCCATCAATCACAATTTATAACCACGCAATATGAGAAAAAAACAGACGAGAGATGAGAACGAATAGGAGACGTAGACTGTTAAGAATCTCCTCATTTTTTGGAAATATAGGACAGATGGACAGTATATAAAGGAAAAAGGACTTGAAAGTTTCGGAATTTAGAAATTTCAGAAATCCTGAATAATTATTAAAAGATTAAATCAATTTTGGACTATCAAACGGGATACTGCTGATGATTTTGGATCAGTTTTCGATATAGTTAAATACCGTAACACCTGTAATAGAAGCCCCCCCCCCTAACTTTTACCTTTGAACCAGTTTATCTCGGTTCCTGTCAAAGATAAAAGAAAACTGTCAACTGATAAATTGTTTATCATAATCAATTTTTTATCAGTTGACACATTTTTTGATATTTTGCATAGGAGCCAAGAAAAATTAGCTGGAACTTGACAGTGCGGGGCCCTTCTATTACAGGTCTTACGGTATTTTACGGTATGTATGATTCAAATAGTGTTTTCGAAGCCGGTTTTTATCAAAACGACTCTCCGGTTATAAAAAGTATAATTTATCAAGAACCGAAAAAAACCTCCAGGGAGATTTTCCCACCACTATGCTTCATATTTTCTGTTTCTCAACTTCTTGTTTAACTTTTAAAACTTCCAATTGTTTTACTCTACTACTCGTTTTCTTTTCTTTTCTTTTTTCAAAAAAAGAGAAAAAGAAAACGCACTATGACTTCTGAGAAATGGAGAAGCAAGAATGGGGGTGGAAAAGTGGAAACAGAAGAAGGGAATATGTGAAAATGTTTCAGTTTAGCTTATACAAACATCATAACATTATGTTTTAGATTTTATTCGGAAAACTCAGAAGCTGTCAGATGGAATTAGAAAAATTCAACTGATGGAAAAACATAATTTGAGATCAAAATCATCCCTAGTCGTCCCGATTTCTTGTTGGTCTCAATTTCGGGAACTACAATTGACAAGGTCGCT